TCCACGCCAAGACTAGGGTATTAGTGAAGGATAAATTTTTCATATTCTAGCCTATAAGGAGTTAATAAGATTTGAATTCAAAACTTCTGGGTTTGATATGTGTATTTATTCAAAGAAGCCCCTTCGATGTAAGTAATTATTAACAAAAATGCTATTTAGATCTAATGCAAGGAAAATTCAATACAATCATTGGATTGAAAGTGTTTTCACCTAATATTATAACTCACAACTAATTCGATGGTTGCATTTAATTAAGTTCTTCCCTGATTAGATCCCCAAATTAAGAAGTGGTATTGGGTGTAACAATTATACCATGTCAGTAATGTTCATGTAGTATAACCGTCCAATAAAAAAACTATAAAATAGATAAAATAAGGCTCACTTTCTATCATGGAGGTGATTATGTATTAGATGGCTAGGTGGTTATGAATTTTTGAGGGGCTCACTTGCAAACTTGTTTACTAATTAGTGAACAGTTACACCACGTAACACTGCTGACATGGTATAATGGTTACACATAATATTTTTTCACAAATTAGGTCCTATAGCATTGGGCTATTATTAATAGCTGAAGTTGTTATTCATACAACTAGCTGGTTAAGGTTAAGGCACCTTCTTCTCGACTTGGATTTATGAATATAGAATCGCCAATTTGTTTGTAATATTTAATATATATTAGTGGAAGACTCTCTTTTATATAATATGTTTCACTTAAATTCATTAAAAATAATTTATCAAGAGAATAAATAAAAGACAAATGCATTAGAGGAGAACTCCTTCTAAATATGTTGTGTTTTTTAGTTTTCTCTATTAGAAATAACCGGCGCCTAAGCACACTGGATAACACAAATAAATGAACATCAATCGAACAATATAAATATATGAAACAATAATTTATTTTTTCTTATTTTTCTATAATTACACATTTCAAAATCAATCTTGTCTTATCATTTAAAAAAAATGGGAGAGAAAAGAAATATATAAGAAAGAAGACTTTGTTTGACCTTAGTTAGCTTAAAAATGTGTGGGATAGGTGGAATTTTCAACTTTGACAGAAATTTAGTCTTGATTACCAAGAAAAAATATAAACCGATTTGGAAAGAAAATTTTTTGGTGATGACGTTGAGCCATTGAATTGAGTGGATCTCAAACATTCTTGTGCTAAACTATGTTAAGGCATTCAAAATGCATCATATTTTATTATATCTATATATATACAATAAAATACAATACAATTCAAATCTCAAAAGATAAACAAAATAACTTTTATTTTTCACCTCTGAGATTTCTTTAAATTTTACTTTAAAGTTAACGACTAATATTAATACCTCAAATTTAATAGGGAATATACGCCCCTAAGGGAGTGTTTGGGGTATTTTTTAAAAGTGTTTCTAAAACTTATAACTTCTCACAAGTACCTTAAAATTTGGAACCGTCCCACCACCACCACTACCCCCACCGCCCTACCACCATCACCACTACCACCATCACCGCTACCCCACCACCACAACTACCCCACTACCACCATCCCCACTACCACAACCGCCGTTGCCACCTCACCACCAACTCTGCCACAACAACCACCACTGTCGCCGCCATCACCACCACTCACATCACCCCACCACTACCACAGTCGCAGTGATTGTCTCACCGTCACTCCTATCACCACTGCCCCCCACCACCCCCATGACCATCACCACTATCACCGTCGTCGTCGTCGCCGCCACCACTGCCGCAACCTAATTTAAATCATACACCCAAGTAAAAGTAGACAAATTGTAATATTATTCGGTTAAGTCCGAAGTCAAACCCACAGAGAGCTAATTGTTAGAATTTAAAAATAAAAAATTTAAGATTGTCTTGTGTGTATTATGATTCACAATAGCTTGTGGTGTAAACTTAGAACTATCAAATAAATACTTAAATTAAACTCTTGATAACAATAAATGAAAAGCTACTCTTTAGTTCGAGGAAATTGAAAATCAACATGCATTATATTGCTTGATTATGAAAAACCCACCTTACAATAATTAACTCCCACATTACTAAAAATTTAACCGATAAGTTTGATGTGTAACTAAACCATATCACAACAACTCGATAAGTTAGCTGGAAGGTCCATGTATCATACAACAACCAAATAGCCCTAACAAACCCGAAGGAGAACCATTCAAAAAGAGTACTTTAGCTATTCAATTGGCAGGTCAATGATTTAAGAAAATGGAGTTCTGTTTTATGCATTGAATCAAAAATATTAGGCATTGCGAGATTTATATCGTCTATAACCAATCTCATAACTATTACATAAAACTCAACTACATGCATCATTGAATCATGCATGAAGTACGTAATAACTTATAGATAGAATGGTATATAGCAGTAAGCTCTGCTCCATGTTCATAACCATGAGCATATAATAATAATAATCATCCATCGATTAAGGGAGATATAAACATTATCACATAAGTGAAACATCGGAATTTTCATAACACAGACAACATTACACATGTTCTCACCTTTCACCAAAGAGCATAAACAGACTAATCACACTTCATTGCTATAGACAAGCAAGAAGAATGAGATAATCTCAGTTCAACACGAAACAAAATACAACAAGTACTTTCTCGAGGAATAGTTGAAACACCACCAATCTTATTACTAGCTAGGGCACAAAAATGAGAGAGGTTCAACCCTCCAAGTAGAGAGAATAAAAAGAAATGTAGAAGGAGAGAGTTTATGGCTTGGAAAGTGTTTAGGGCAGGGTTTCCTTATTTCTGGCTCTGGATTTCTTCTCTAGGGAAAAGTCCCTTTAAAACTGACTGAGTAGGCTATTTATAGGCACTGGGGAGTAGCTTCAAGGCGGCAGACACCCAAGCCGGCCAATCAAGATCCTTTGTTGCTCAAATAGACCAATGGGAGAAGAAGGAGGAAGGCAATTTAGGGCACCATTCGGACGCCGCCGCCACCACCGTCCAGACGGTAATGATTCTCTGGTTTTTCCTTTGCACAGCCCAACTTTGTTGACTTTTGATTTACACTTGCCTCCCCTTTGTTATTTAGACTCTACACTTTCTTCCCTCTAAATTTCCTTAATTACCTTTGAAACCCTACAAGATAGATAAATTAAACATTAACCCTAATAATTCAAAAATTAATCACTTTAATTTAATTTTTTACACATAAGTAATCTTAAACCCTAATTCAATTCCACACTTTTTAGGACACCCACCACCATAGCCGCCGCCATCACCCCACCACCACCACCACCGCCACAACCATCACCATCGCCACTACCCCACCACCACCGCCTTTACCCCACCTCCACCTCCACCACTTCCACTGCCCCATCTCCAGCCCCAGCGCCACCCCCAACGCCATCACCACCAATCACTGATTGCTACAATTGTCGTCCATCGCCACCACCCACCATCATCGTCATCTCATTATTATATTTATTATCAGTATCACCATTATCTCACTACTAACGTCGCCCACCTTCATTACCCACCACCACCATTGTTGCCCACCACCAGCCACCGCCACCTACTACCACAACCCATTATTGCCCATCATCGTCGTCAACCACCCCCACCACACCTGCAACCACCATCACCCCCACCAGCACCACTATCCCACCATCATCCCTATCACCACCAGCCCCACAACTATTACTACTACAACCACTGTTGCCGTCGTCGCCACCTCATCACCACCCCCACTGCCACCACCCACCACCATCATTATCGCATTCTTATATTTATTACTAATATCATCATCATACTACCACTATCAGCACCTACCACCACTATCACTGTCACCTATCACCATTGTCATCGATCACTTTCACCATAATTGGTGTTTAAAATCTTTTCTTTCTCCTCTTTGTTTGTAATTGAATTTTGGGTATAAATATAAATTTATTTATTTTTTATTTTTTTTTATTATTCAACGCCTTTAAATACAGACAATAACTAATAAATATATAAGCTGTATCTTTAGCTTGTTCTATCAAATAATTGTTGTAAGTCTCACATCGGTGTCAAAGATACGTTGAAGTTTCTTGTAAGTGTTCATTCACTCTTTTTTCAAAGATCAGATTTTTGGACAATGATACGTTCAAGTTTCTTGTAAAGTGTTATTTCAAAGATTAGACTTTCTGAAAATGATAGGTGGACTTGAGCTTCTTGCGTCTTTGATTTGTTTTGATTATGCAATAATTTTAGACTATTTATATATATTAGCAATAATTGCATACCTAAAAATACACTATAATAATAAAAAAAATTATCATTGATCATTTAATATTTATATTTTAAATAATAATTTATTTTTTTTGATTGCATAATTTAAAATTAAAATCGAGAAAGAAAAAAATAAGATGGTAAAAGAAATAGGTAGGTGTGAATTAGTAGTGTTATTGGACATTGAGTATTGTGTTAATTGAATCATTTAACATTGAGAATTGTATATAGAATATGAGGTTTTTTAGTGAAAAAGATTTTTTGAGATGAATTGTGAACCATTAGATCAAAATAAATGTAAAAAAAATTAATCTTGACAGTTATTATATTTTTATAAGTTAAAAAAATTTAACTTACTAGTTGGAATATTTTATCGATTTTCTTTATGCATTGTGTAAAAAAATGTTGGTTGCGCCATTTTTAACAGCTGGGCCTGGGCCTGGCCCCTTAAGTTTGCTGAAATTTTCACTTTAATCATTTAGTTTTTGTGTTATGTATAAAAAAAATACTTGGATAGTCCTTGGTTGTAAAATCTTTCTAAACTCCTAACGCTCTCATACTCTCTATATGAATTCGTGCTCTAGAAGTGAATTCTCCTTGAATTTGTGCTCTGATTTTACAAAATTCATGAATTTAATTTGTTTCAATTCGTAAATCTACACTTTAATTTTAAATAGGGGAATTAAAGAAAATAAAAAATTATTTTTTAAACTATAAATATTATACAATCAATGCACAATTTATAGTATTGTAGAGTGTGCTTAAACACGTAATTTCTAGTCCCACTATATATATCTTTTGTCAGCTTTTCATTTGTCCTCCAACTTGAGAAATTAATCATAACTCCATCCTTCATTATAATCATGTCTTTCAAGATGTAGCTGGTAGGAGTTACGCTTGTAAATAAGGCACTAGTCTGCTTGTGTATAGCTACAACTTGATTAATCAAGCATGAAGGAGACTTAGACCTCAAAGTTTAATTTAAGCTTTGTGAGGATAGAGACGAACTGGAAGTCCCTTTGTTGGGGCAGGCATGGGATCAGCAACAATCTTCTCATCGGGAATTATTTTCTCCCACTTGAACCTTTTCACAATGTGGTGTACGAAAACAAGTATCTCTAATCTTGCATACTCTTTTCCGGGACACATTCTAGGTCCACCACCAAAAGGCACAAATGTGTAAGGGGCAGGTCCAGTTCCACTGAATCTCGAGGGATCGAATTTCATGGGATCTGGGAAAACTTGAGGATTTCTATGTGTCGAGTTTGTGCTCCAATATATCTGCATAAAACAAAACGAGAATTTTAATTAAGCTAGAATTTCGTAACACTTTTTCTAGTAGTCTTTCTAAAAGAAAAAGCAATTATATATGTTTGATGATTGCTAAACAAAAGTGATATATATGCATCTTAGGATATAAATACTGATAGTAATGCTCTACACAGTTGAGCAAGATTGTGCTATCTAGAGTTTGAGAATCACTAGAATGCCTAGTTAGAGTTTCTGGGCTCTTGGTGTTTAGGCAACACAATTGAGGAATTGTGGACAGAACGTTTATAGTGGTTTACCAGTTCGGGGAGTTGGGCTAATTCACTGTAATAGAGTCTCTTATTTTTGGAGAATCCTTCTATTAATCAAAGGAGCGAGATTACACAGGACAATACAGGGTAATTGTGCTGATAATTGTCTGGATACATTGTGAGGGGTCTGATCCCTCTTTATAGTCCTCAAATGTTTTGCGTGATTGTCGTCACTTTGTCGTAACTGAAGCTGTCTTTGCGCAAATAACGTTGATGGTATTGGGGCATTTGCGACTCTTCTACTAGAATGTTGGGTCGTTACGAATTACACTCTCTGGGTGTGACATAACCTTCTGGAAGGTGTTAGCTATCGCTATCATTGTTAATGAAAGATTCTTAAACGAAGGTCCGATCTGCGCACCTCGGGACCATGGTCATGATTTGCGTAATCCCTACCCAGCTGTCCGAGCCGGAAGTACCGAGCTAAGCCTTAGATGATTTTAGGTATCATCAAATACTATGGTTATATATGGGTATATATATAATATATGAAATTAACTGTGGGAAAAAACTGCAAACCAAGAATAAGAAAATACAAACACAAATGAAATCCAAAACAAATGCTATTTAAAAAAAATAATAATAAAGATGCATTGGAGGGTTAATAAGAGAATACACCACTTAAAAAATATTTAAAAATAAAAAAGAACTTAGAAAAGGGCTTAACAAACAGTATCGATGAACACAATACATGTTTGCAGAATTAGTAAATAAATATGTTTACCTTCCACCCTTTTGGAATTGAAAAACCATTATACATGAAATCAGTAAGGGCCTCTCTGAAAGTTCCCTGCACAGGTGGTGCAAGTCTCAACACTTCACATACTACGTTCCATGAATACTTCATCTTTTGAATGTCGTCCCAATTCAACTGTTCACCGGGACGTTTTGAGTTCGCAATTTCCATTTGCTCTATATACAAAATAAGAAAAAAAAACATAGCAATTAGGTACTCTTGAATGGATTATTCTATGCTGGCTTGAGGGAAAAATAAATAAAGATTGAAGAGTCTAAAGACATAGAAAAGATGTAACATACGTAACTAATTTCATGTTAATCTAGCCTTTTCCCATATTGATTTTTTTTTTTTTAAATTATGCTCAATGCAAAAAATCATTCCCATCAAAACTACCAAAAAAAAAAAACTTGCATGCTCATGCTCGAGTAAATTAGTCAGGCAGGGGAAGGGAGGAGCACCAAAGTATATGGGGTGGTTTTAAAATTTGCACAATATAAGGTTTATCTTTTGCAGTTTGAAATTTCAATCCGAATCTGATCTAAGTGTGACAGATTATACTGCCACAATTCATATTTAAATGAGGAAAAGTTCAAAATTAGGATTAGAAATCCGACACAATCCAAATAACCCAATTAATTTCAGATTGAGCCATTTATGTAAGAATATTAATCTAATTACATCAAACAATTACACAATCTCGTCGTACTTTTTATTCTTACATGTATATTTCATATCAAATACTTGTATATTTAAATTTAAACCCGTAAAATATGAAGTAAGAAATAAGAATTAACTTCTTAACTATGGGCAAACATAACAATCCAAATTTGGCTAACCGTATTTAGACTTAAATTTGGAGCAAATTCGAATCAAAACGGACACGTATATCGGGGACCCCAGCTCCATCGGTGGTCTCATGTTATAAATGACAAATGTTATTTGGATAAAAAATACTGATACTTTTTAGTGGCTCCCTCTATCACAATTATTGAACTGCTAGTTATTCAATAATACTGAGATCAGGGTTAATTGTATTAGAGGTCCCCCAAAATATAGAGTTTATCTTATTTTGGTTCTCAATATTTTAATTATATCATTTTGGTCCCTAAAGTAGTGAATATGTTTCTATGTGGTCCATCAAGCCAATAGCATTCAGATTGCTAATAATTTTTTATTATAAACTTGTCACGTAATTCTTAAATATGAGCAAAAAAATAATTTAATAACTCTTGAACAAATTTCTACTCAAATTTTGGTAAAAAAAACTACCTAAATAGCACAGTTTTAATCATAAAATATCTAAATTTTGGTCAAAAATTATCCAAATTACACAGTTTTTGTCATAGAGCTACCCAAATTTTGGTTAATAGTTACTCATATTATACATTTTTGTCAACAACTACCCAACTTTTGGTCAAGAGGTACCCAAATCATTTTTTATCCATACGAGGTATCACGTGACAAGTTTATAATAAAAATTCGTTAGCAATTTGAATGTTATTTGTTTGAAAGATCGCATAGAAATATATTTAATACTTCAAAAACTAAAATAATGTAATTAAAATATTAAAAATCAAAATGAAACAAGCAGTAAATAATGACAATATAACATATATTCATCGGAGGAAACAAATTAAATCACTGTCAAGCTCAGATCTAATTAAGTTAAACATGGGATTACCCTTATAGACACCTTCATAGATCTCAGGCAGCTCAGCCAAGTACTTGACGACGAAAGTGCATGCAGAGCTCGCAGTGTCATGGCCACCAATCAACAAACCCAAAATCTTATCAGCTATGTCCAATTCATTCATGAACTTCCCAGCTTCATTGCTTGTCAAAAGCATATGAGAGAGAATATCTTGTGTCGGGGAAGCTTTTCCCTCTCTCAGATCAATCTTTCTCTGCTTGATAATGGCGAAGAGCTCTTTTCTGATGAAGTTTGAAGCTTTAATGGCGCGATTAAATGGCGTTCCGGGCAAGTCGATCGGAATAGACATAATCCCTGAGACCAAAAAGTTGAATGGGTCCGCAAATTTAGCAACATGGTTTGGGTCTTCAACACTGATGAACAAACGAGCGGCAAGCCAGAAAGTGTAGCGTTTGGCTAGAGGGAAAACGACGACTTCGTCTTTGTTTTCCCAGCAGGCGGCAAAGTGACGGCGGGCGATGTGGTCCATGATTCCGATGTATTGTTGAAGGGCTTCTGGTTTCAAGAAGTTGGGTAGCAATTTTCTCATTTTAATGGCTTCTTCTTTGGAGGAAGTTTGTGTTGAAGAAGGGAATACTTTGTTGACGGAGTTTGGCCACCATGCCTGAACCAGCTTGTTCTCGTTGGAGAATAAGAACTTGTTTCCGGCAGCGCCGCAGAAGACGGCAGCTTGTTCACCGAGAATTGAGGTTTTAAAGACGGTAGGTGAGTATTTGGTCATCCGGTCGAAGATGAATTTCTCCGGATGGCCTTTCCATCCGGTGGAGAGAAACTCAAAGCTTTCACCGATGAACGGCCACCCAGTATTTCCGGGTGGCAGCTTTCTTCCACCGGATTTGTTATTATAGAAGAGGAAGTGGAGGGAGAGGAAGAATAGGAGAACAAAGAAGCAAAGGATAGAGACATCGAAGAACTCCATCTCAATGTTTTGTAGTTGTTACTCAAAGTTGGAGATAAAAGAGTATGGCACATGGGTATATATAGGAAAAAAGAGTACCGATGGTTCTACCTAAAAATCTTGTCATAATTTGTTAACTGTGATTTTATTATAATCGTTGAATTAATATTTAATTTTAATATTTAGTGGGATTTAGAATTAATTTAATAATTATAGTGAATTAAATCAAAAAATAAAGTTAATAATTTAGATCTCAATAAAATTACGTATATAAGGGAAAAAAAGTATAATGATAATGGTGACTAAGAATTTATTATTAGATGATTTAATTGACATAGTCTAATAATATTAGTATATTTTCAATTGTCGGAACATATAAGTTAGGCCCAAACATTATAACACATAGGATAAAATCATAAAAAAAATGATAAAATACATATAAAACTCGTGCAAATTCAAAATTTGAGTATGAAATTAATATTTGTTAAAGTTTAAAAAAGGGTAATGTTATGCATATCAAAAGTGTGCACCAAATCATATGCAATCATCAGGTTAGTGAGTCCCGTCATGGATCTAATAACTGCAGGTGATTTGGTGAATACTTTTAATGCATATAATTTTATCCGTTAAAAATTCTAGTTGGTTATGGTATTGCCAGCGACATACTTGTGATTTATCCCACTTTAACTGGGTTTTTTTTTTTTTTAATACCTGTAAAGAGTTATTGATTTTGTGGAAAAATATGAAATTATCGACACAAAAAGGTTCAACCACACTTTAACTAGTTCAAAATTCAAATTTTACTTATCATATAAATGTCACATCATTTGATCTTTTTTTTTGTCCTATTTATTTGTTAGTGGAGCATTTAACATTATACATCAATAATATTATTTGTATTTAATTTGAAGACTTAATTTAAAATTTTAATACATTGGAACCGTTAGATTTAGAGTGAACTTCAATTGGTACTAGGGTTCATCACTAATTTAATTATCACAATGTATTAAAATTTTACGTATGTGTCGTACTAGATGGTGTACATCACACATAAAAATATTATACATTATACCAAAAATACTTTACATTATTACAAAAAAATTGTACAATTTCATTTATGTCTAACAAAGCAAATTATGTGACAATTTTTTATTGGGTATTATATGACACTATCACGTGTTAAGTTATTAATGCAATGAGTGATATAGTCTCAATGAACAAGTAAAACATACAATTAGACTAATACTACTAGATCATGTCAATAATCACATCAATAAAATATAAAAATTTTAAATCTCAATTACTTTACCCAGAGACAAAAAGGAGATGTCAATCTCGTACATCACAATGAAAATTATTGTTGGTTGGTGCTGTAAGGAAAATTATTTGTTATGAAAATACTTTACAAATAGTAATTTGAATTTAAGAGAAAAAAAAACTGTTATTCTGGATCACGTGGAAGTGATATTTTTTAAATGAGGTTTTATCCCAACCCATGGGATTTTTAAAAAATATATCCAAAAGAGGGTAGTTTTCAAAATATTTATCAAACTCATGTACTTTTAAAAACGTCACTTGGAATAATATTTTTATGCAAAAAAAAATTAGTTAGAATAACGTTTTTAGCGTAAAAATATCAAATTAATTGACATTTTTGTCCATTTACAGGACCTAATCAAGACGTCAATTATACTGACGTTTTGATTGTTTTAGTCAATAATGTGTATATAAAGTTTCCTAGGCTGTATTTGGAATGACGTAACAGGTTCATTTTTTCTGCTGTGGTTTTGTGATTGTTCTCTTGTGATAGACCATGCAGGGCAAACAATCTCTTCAAAGTTGACTTGTTCTACCATACATTATTACAATTAAGTTTTTTTTTTCAAATGACTTTTATACCCCCTAGGTTCTTTTTTATGGTTGGGAATGGCAACTGAGCGTTTACTAAATCCAAAGGTTAGAGATAACAATTTATTGTCCAACAAGAACTCCTATGACCGGATAGGTCCTGTAAATGGACAAAAAACGTCAGTTAATCTGACGTTTTTTATCCCAAAAACGTTATTTTAGTTGACGTTTTTTGCATAAAAATGTCAATTTAAGTGACGTCTTTAAATATGCATGAGTTTGAAAAATACTTTAAAATTACTATCTTTTGAATATATTTTTTAAAAAACTCATAGGTTAGGGCAACACCTCTTTTTAAATACGATAATTAAATGGTGTTTTATTTTCAAATGAAAAATGCATGGCAGTGGGAGTGTGTTGCAATGATAGAGTAAGTATTTGGTAAATTTCATTCTTGCCGCTTGAAAGATATAAGAATTTATAGTTTGTCCCTTGAATTATTAATTTTTTCACATTGCCTCTTTAAAAAAATAAAATATTGCAATGTGATCCACTGTCTTATTTTTGCTTGGCCGTCCATCTATTTTTGTGATTTTTGATTGGTTGATTTGACACAAAACAGACGAAAGATCAAATAGAAATAAGATGGTGAACCGTATTGCAACGTTTTTAATTCTTTAAGAGGGTAATGTGAAAAAATTAATCATTCGGAAAGTAAATTGAGAAAGTTTATGAGCATTTCTCTAAATATGTATGGTGTATGATCCATTTTTTTACTGAAGAATAAAAATATCAATTGAATAAATATTCAATATAACGGTGATATTATAACAGCATTGTTACATAGTATCATAAATCAACAACAAAATTAAATGGGTAAGGTAAACCTCACTTTGATAGTTATTGACTAACATAAAAAAAAAAAGAATAGTTATTGACTTACATGAAGGGATAGTTATTAAATTATGTGATGCTTATTTTCTTATTTATTTATATATTATTAATTGGTGATACAACATGACAATATTGACGTGATATCATCTAATTTTTTTTTATTTTTTGAACGTTTTTTTGGCCTTCCATGAGTGAGGGGATTTAGTTCAATGATGCATATGAATAATAGAAAGAGTAATACTACACAACTCAAATGAAACAAAAAAAAAAAGTTGTAATTCAAATGCATATCATCTTTTGGATGAGTGAATTTCATTAATTTTTTCGGTGAAATCTACTCATCAAATGAATGATATGTATTTGAATTATAATTTTTAAATTTTGTTTGAATTGTATAACATTTTTCATAATAGGATAGTATTAGAATAAAATTGGTGTTTAGCCTGCCATTTATATAATAAAGTAACTTACAATTCAAATTTCAAAAGATAAACAAAATAATTTTTGTTTTTCGCACTTTGGATCACTTTAAATTTTACTCTAAAGATAATCTAACAGATAATTTTAACACCCTAAATTTAATAGGAAAAATAGTATCATAAAGGTGTATTTGTGATGACTTTTTAAAAATACTTTTAAAAATTATTTCTCATAAATACTTTTAAAAAAAATAGTGTTTAAAATCGTCACATCACTACCTCTACCACCACCACTATCTCTACTACGACCGTCACCACCACAATCGCCACCGTCGCCACAACCATGACCGTCATCGTCGTCCCGTCGCCATCACCACCACCACCGCCACCCCCACAACCATTGCTGCCGCCGCCGCGGTCGCTGCCACCCCCACCCTCACTATCGTCTCCACCACAACTACCACCGCCATCGTTACCACCACAACCGCAATTGCCGCCGCCATCACCGCCACCGCTATCGCCACTACCATCGTCGCCGCCACGCCACCGTCACCACGGTCATTACCACCCACCACAATCATCACTGTCTCCTAGCACCACTATTGTCGTCTACCATTTTTCACCTCCACTATGACCGATGTTTAAATTCATTTATTTCTCCTCTATGTTTGTAATTTGATTTTAAATATAAATATAAATATATTTATTATTTATCATTTTTTTTCTCTCTATGCCTTTGGGTACGGGCAATAACTAATCGTGTGATCTGGCATCTGTTTACAAGCAGTTTTGTCTTTATGGTGTCGCCGTCTTTTGTGCCATCAGTTAGCTCCAGGATTTGGATTCCTACAATCCAGTCATGTTAGTTTAAATTTGTGGTGAGTACAATTGACTATGTCCGATGATTTAATACTATTCTAACATTTTTATTAATTTGATCAAAAAAAAAAACATTTTTATCAATCTTGCTGTGCACAGGTTGTGACCCATAGAAAAACCACAGTAGAAGGATTGAACGGTATCGAAACTTCCCCATGCAGACGCAACCATTTGAGGAAATTAAAAACAAAATCCACCTACAAGCCGTTATGTATGGGATGGGTGACTTCTTCATTTTAATTGAGATTTTGATTAGACTCAACCACCTGGCTTGTTGGCCACGTTACTACATCGGGCCGGTACAGACGCGAGAGAGAGAGAGATATGGAGAGATGCAGTGAGTTGTCCAACGTTGTAAGTATCACGTGTCTACAAACTTCAAAGAGTCTGAGTATAATTTACTAACAGATAGACTAACGAACATTGATAGCATATGTCTAACTGTTACGCGCGAATAAATCTCAGGGGGGTTTGTGTATAATATTTCAAATGTCAGGGGTCTGAGTGATTAAGTAACAAAACTTCAAGGGATCTAAACCATTTATTATGTATATTTAATAATCATGTCAATTTTAGAATTGTGTCATGTCGAGTTTCTATTAGCAAGTCAGAGTTGACAGCCCTAATGAATATAAGAAAAATTAGGCGTGGATATCTTTTTTAGCTCTTATTTGGACATAAGTTATCTGTTTTAATAGGTAAGCATTTAAGTCCAAAATAAGTATTAAAAATTGAACAGAAGTACCCTTTTTTTTTATTTTTTTTTAATATTACCTAATTATCTCTGCTTTGATTCATACATAACTGATTTAAAAATATTTGAAAAGATTCTTATAATATTATTGTGATATATACAATCGTTTGATTTTTAAAATACTGATATCAATTCATTTGAGATCATCCTTTTGAACCAAAAGTTTTTCTTCTTCAACAATTCAAGACATTTCGTTTTAACATTTTAGTTTTCTTCAAACAAACATTTCGTTTTACATAGAATGT